TTTTCTTTTCTTTCTTCTTGTCTTCTCTTGCTTTCTGTTCTTTCTTTCGTTTCTTGTTCGTTCGTTCAAGGTGTGAGCCTTTCTTCTGGGTTTACTACGTGCCCAGGACGGTGCCAAGGACTGTGCTAAATCATTCACATAAAACCACTAGCATGCATCACCTCATTTGGTCCTCCCACAGTCTAATGGGTAGGTACTGTCATTATCTTCATTTTAAGAAAATGAAGAAACTGAAGCTCAGAGAGGTTCATTGATGTCTCCACCGTCTGCCTAATTCAGTACCCTGCACCCGTAACCACTGTAAAAGAACAACATGCCAATAGTTCCCTAATGTTGTAAAAGGCACTGTTTTAAACGCATCTGTTATATCAACTCACTCACTCCTCCAAACAAGCACGATAGAGATTACTATTATCCTTGTTTAATAGATTGGGAAACTGAAGCACAGAAAGGTCATGTAATGTTCCCCAGGTCACCCAGCTAGTAAGTGAGCTGGACAGGGCATCTGTTTTACCGAGGAAGACATTCCTCAGTTTTTGTTTTGTTTTGTTTTTCACTTGAAATCCCCTGCGATGGCCCAGAGCGGAATGCCAGCGTCCTGAGAATAAAGCCTCTGAGCTGACCTGGGAAGGGGTGCCAGTGGCGGCTGTGTCCCCTACAGCTCTGGAAGGTGGAGGCGGTGGAGAGAGCGACTACACAGCAGCCACAAGCCTGGGTCCCTGCCAGGGGAGACCTCAAAGTCCTCTCGAGGGTTGGCTTCCCTGTGCTGGGCCATGCACAAAGGCGAGTGGTGGCTTCCAGGAGAGCAGCAGGACGTGGTCCTCGGGAGAGGAGAAAGCCCCGGGGAAGGGCTCATGGGACCTCAGCCCGCAGCTCTGAGAAGGGCTGCTCTGTAGGAGGGGGGATGCAGGTAACAGCTCCCCCAAGAGCCAGGCAAGCAAAAGTAGGTTTCTGTTTGAGCAGCAGCTGGGGAATTTCAGGGAGAGAGAGGAATCCGCTCCCGACAGTGCGTCATGTTCAACCCTGGAAGAGGTGACCATGAAGGGGGCCTCTAGAGAGAGCAGATGGGCTGCGCTTAGGCCGGCCTCTTTATTGTCTCTGCCTCTAACCTTTGGGAATCCTGTCCATCTTTGAGCCCCTGGCGCCAGTGACTCCACTCTGCGAATCCCTCCCTGACCAGCCATCCCCCACACCCATAAGACTCCAAGTTCTGTTTGGGGGACAGAAAGCACAAGTGCCCTGAGGTCCAGGCTGGTCCACATTCATCCCTGGGTGGGCTGTGGCTCAGACCAGCCATTTGGGTGATGAAAGTCTCAGACACTCTGGAAGCTAGCCCAGTTGGTCCTGGTGCCCCCAGTAACACTCACACCCTATTCTCCTGCAGCAAATCTAATCTACCCTCCCTACTATTCATTTGGCCTTGGGTATTAGGTATCATGTGACCTCGCTGGTATGGCATCTCCTGGTGTTAGCGGCTTCTTGCATGAGTACATTTCTCAGATGATCAGACAACATTTATTGAACATCTAGCATGTGCCACCCACCATTGTAACTGCTTTGTGGGGTTATCGCATTTAATTCTCCCAAGAACCACATGAGTTGGTGTTATTTTTATCACCATATTACAGAGACGGAAACAGGGGCCTAAGCACTCAGTGGCTACGGGATGAGCTGGTACTCAAACACAATATTGGAACGCCGGCCATCAAAATCTGATTTGTCACTGGTTTGTCTCTCAACAAAAAGAAGTCAGAGTCTTTCTTACTCCCTTCTATCTCCCGTAGCTCCCGGTGAGTGTCTGTAGACAGTAGTTGTTCAAAAAATGTGGGCTTTCACTGACTGTTCAAAGACATTTCTCGGTTGGTTTTTTTAATGATCAGCGAGACAGGGTGCTCTTAACAGGACAAAATAGTGTTGAATCCTTGGTAGACAAAATCAGGTGCTTTTTAGAAGAAATGAGAGAGAGATTTGTAGGCCATATATTAGAAAATTTTGTTCCAAGTCTTTTTTTTTTTTTTTTTTTGAGACAGAGTCTCGCTCTGTTGCCCAGGCTGGAGTGCAGTGGCATGATCTCAGCTCACTATAACCTCCGCCTCCGGGGTTCAAGCAGTTCTCCTGCCTCAGCCTCCTGAGTAGCTGGGATTACAGGCATGCACCACCACACCTGGCTAATTTTTGTATTTTTTAGAGACGAGGTTTCACCATGTTGGCCAGGCTGGTCTGGAACTCCTGACCCTAAGTGATCTGCCCGCCTCGGCCTCCCAAAGTACTGGGATTACAGGTGTGATCCACCATGCCCGGCCATGTTCCAAGTCCTTAAGGTAACAAGGAGACATGTGAGAAGCCCATTTGGGACTGAAGGATGCAAGAAAGCCCTGTCATTGAGGCAGCCAATCAGAAGCTTTTATTAATGGGCCCTCTTTCTTTTGTCCCCCACTTCCAGAGAATCTTCCATAAAAGTGGCAGACTCCTCCTGATCTCCACCCGTGCCGTCTGCCTCTCTAGTTCCGGACACAGAGCTGGTGCCCTGCGGCCACCTCAAGCAGGAACCCTGCAAGGTCACCAAGAAGACTGCGTGCCTCGCTCTAGCCTCTTCCTAAGGGAAAGCAGACTCCTGTTTTTGAGAGAAATTACCTGATTTCGAGAGAAACATAAAGGACTTTTTTTCTCCTTAAGGTAACATTCCACTTGTAAAAAGGAAGTTTGGAAGAATTTCTGCAAACTCAGTGTTTTGATCAGTTGATCTTTTACTGTACCAGGCGAATCTGAAGCCACAAATACACTGGGGAGGAAGGTGTGCCCTTCCCAAAGGATTTGCACTTAGCCAGACATTCTGTTGCTGTGCTTCTTTAAATAAAGAACATTTCTGGTATATTAATTATTAATTTATTTTTATTTTTTAGAGTCGGGGTCTTGCTCTGTTGCCCAGGCTAGAATGCAGTGATATGATCAGAGCTTATGACAGCCTTGAACTCCTGGGCTCAAGTAATCCGCCTGCCTCAGCCTCACGATTCATTGGGATTACAAGTGTGAGCTACCGTGCCCGGCTCTTTGCCGGGTATATTTTAAATTGTTTCGTTTCCTTGAAAGTGAGATTTATCTATTATATTCAGAAAATCTGGCAAGATATATTTGATTGCTTGAGATTCCTAAAACTCATGTTATATTAACACTGAAAGGGGCATTTGAGTCTCACATTCTCACTTTAAAGATGAAGAAACTGTGGCCTGGAGAGGTTACGTGACTTGTTTTCGTCCCACAGTCTTGTGTGTGTGTGTAGCAGGCTGCCCAGTTTCCAGCTTTCCCCCTTTACTGTGCACCTTCCTTGCATCTGAGGTATGCAGGGAAGCTGACCCTCCCAGTCAGGCCTCTCTACCTGGTCCTCAGCTGCCATCACTGATGTTTAATCATTGATCCCTCTTTTGGATTTCATTGTTACTGTTTTTTCCTTTTATTATGGAAACGTTTCAAACATAAAAGTAGGAGATATAAATAACTACCACGCTCCCTCACCCAGCTTCTACAATTATTAGCACGTGGCCAATCTGTGTTTCTCTATACCTGACCCCAGTTCCCCCTCCCACCCAGATGACTTTAAGGCAAATCCAAACATGATGTCATTTCATCTGTGGCTGCTCCGTGTGTAACAGCGTGTGAAGCCTCTCCTACATACATGTATGTCCACAGTGCAACGTCACAACTAAAAAGAGTGAACAGTAGTTCCTTAATTTCACCAAATGTCACTGATTGTCTTTCTTACTACGTCTCTCTCTCTGTCTTTGCAATTGGTTTATTAGAATCAAGACTATCGGGTAGAATTATGAGCTGATCATTCAGGGTCCTTGCATTAGAATTTTGCTGAATGAGGGAAAATAAATTGCATAATAAGGAGATTTTATAATAACCATAAATCACATTCATAAATGCCTTTATACTTCCTAAGTCTCTTTAACCATAACTTTTTTTTTTTTTTGGAGGCAGATCTCACTCTGTCACCCAGGCTAGAGCGCGGTGGCACAATCTCGACTCACTACAACCTCCGACTCCTGAGTTCAAGCAATTTTCCTGCCTTGGCCTTCCCAGTAGCTGGGATTATAGGTGCCTACCACCACGCCTGACTTTTTTTTTTTTTTTTTGTATTTTTAGTAAAGACAGGGTTTCACCATGTTGGCCAGGCTGGTCTCAAACTCATGACCTCAGGTGATCCACCTGCCTCGGTCTCCCAAAGTGCTGGGATTACAGGCGTGAGCCACCACACCTGGCCAACCATAACTTCATGTCAGATAGGGAGACGGGTATCATTTGCCGCCAACAGAGAAAACTGAGGCCCGGAGGTGGCATGGAATCTAATTAGTAGTCGAGCTCAGATCTCCCACGCTTCCTGACTTGGCTCTTTTTACTGCAACAAAATCTCATGATAACTCCCATCTCGTTAAAATTATAGCTTCAATTTTGTGCAGCTCACTAGGACCAACCCTCTTCTAGATACTTCCTACGTAGAAGCTCACGGAACCATCATGACAACGCTGTAGAGGAGATGCTTGGGTTCTCATTGTACTGATCGGGAATCTTAGGCACAGAGGTGTAGACACATTTTTCAAGGTCACCCAGCACCAGCATTTGAGCCCAGGTCTTTCTGATGCTAGAGCTCCCGCTTGCAATAGCTATCACATGCTAATAACACGTAACAAGGTGACTGTAATTCACAGTGGTGAACATTTTCTTCTGTCAACTTTATCCTTATTCCCTTTTAGAATCTGCCTTGAAATGTGAAACAAAACCACATTTTTAAAAATGCTACTATTCAGACATTTCACAAATGTGGATGTGATGTTCCTTTATTCGAATTCGTGAAGATCAACATGACCCTCGACTGAAAAATGCAGAGCTGAAAATGAATCCAAGACCCCAGAACTGTCCGTCCTGGCCTCACTCAGCCGGTGGCGAGTGCCACACAGTCCCTGCCTTGGCCTGACTCTGCTCGCTCTGTCTTGTGCTTTCAGGAGCAGTCAAAGTCCTTTTTAGAAAATATTTCTTGGTCTTCTGTGGCATTGGATGGACAGAGTTTTCCACTAGGTCTTTTTTTTTTTTTTTTCCGGCCACACTGGCCCTTAAGAAGATGTTACTCAAGGCTCCACACCTACTTCAAACATTTTTAGGGGCCCTGATTGGGGCCTTGCGCAGAACTGCCAGGAACCCTACAGAGAGGAGGAGCCCAGCTCTGGGGGCCTCGCCTTGGTCCCAGTGTTTACCCAGCCCTTGCAGAGGCCCTGCTGTCAGTGTGCTGATTCTCTTTCTCACACTTCCCCAAACAGCATATTCTTGTGAGGCAGCTGTTGCTTGCAAGGCCTTCTTTCAGCCACAGTCGCTTTTCCCATGTTTATAGCCCTGGTGTTTTCCCCCCTTCCTTTTTTTTTTGAAGGGCTTTTCCCCTAAGTCTTTCTGTCGCTGAACAGCTGTGCTCTGATATTAGATAGAATGTTTTCTGTCCTCACCACAAGCTTATGAACAAAAGGGTTTTAAGAACCCTGATAAATGAACAAGGTCTCTGGGAAGATGAAATGTTACCAACATTTCAAACAATCAAAATCCTTGTGCATCTCGAAGGGTTTGCCCTTTCAAAGCAGTGCCGGGTGGGTATTTTGTCTTGGAGCCTTGGAGACTGTAATTTTTTTCTCAGTCTCCCTATCGACCTGACATGGGAAAGTTGGTCAGAAGATGGCCCTTTACTGCCATCAAAGCCCCGAGCTTGCTTTCCTATTGGCTCTTTGTCCTGCTTTGAGGCCCCTCTGGAGAGTTTCGGGGGGTTCTCTCAGCCGAGAGAGGCCAAGGCTGGGCGTTTTGGTTTCTGTTATCTTCCAGTTTATGTTGAGGTTCTATCCTCATCTGAAACAAACTTGTGGCCACTCTTGATTAAGCGTTACCTGTGTGCAGGTGCTCTGCCAAGCACCTGCCATTATCCTGTTCTAGCCCCAGAGCAACCTGTGACATGCGCGTTGAGACCTCTAACGTTCACACGAGGAAACTGAGAGTTGGAGAAAATAAGCCGCTTGCCCAAGGTTGCTTAGCAAGGCTGTTTGCCACGTGGCTCCAGGTCTCCAGCGAGTGGTGGAGCCAATCTTCAAACCCAGATATTTTGGACTCTGAAGCCTCTGCTTTCTTCAGTAATAATGGAATCCCTCAGTGGCCAGAGGTGGCCAGAGAGGGGGACGCCTACACTATTCTGCCTTCCTACTTCCATGTAGGACCTCCTTCTAAAGCAAAGGGGCTCTCCTTTATTTACATTCTCCATCCCCCATCTTTGCGCCGCCCCCACCATCGCACCGCCTGGAATGTGCACTGTCTTCCTTATTTTAATGTTGTCCAAACCCTAGGCTACCTTCTCTGCTTCACTGGCAGCCCAATCCGGGGTCCAAATCCAGACGTTTGCTCTCCAGCCCAAGCCCCTTCCTGGTACTGCCTCATGTGGGAACAGAAAGGTCAAGGCTTAAAGTAAAATGACAGATGGAAAGAAAAGCCTCCACCAGCCTGTAGAGCTCCGTGAAATCCTTCATTATGGGATTTCCCTTGTCAGGGCTACAAGGAGAAGCCTGAAGGCTCACGGCAAAAATCAACACCACATAAAGGCACGGTACAGGCAGGCATTGCTCATCACAGTGAACACATCTGACAAGCGGTCCCAAGGGTGGCGCAGCGGGGTGATGGGGAAGGAGGAGGGGGAGAAGAGAGGGAAGAGAAGAGGAAAATGACCAGCATCGTGACTTCATTTCCTGTCTGTTGGCACCATGCCTGCTCTCTTCCACAGATCTCTTCTCCTCTGAAGAAGAGATCTTCTACAAATCCAGAAGACAGACTTTGGCTAGATCCAAGGAAGGTGACAGGAACCGTCTGAATCTAGAGACCCAGACATGTCCTTCTCTGGAGATCTTGCAGGCCAGGGTTCAGGCTCGTCATCTGGGGATTTCGGGAAGGGCCTGCACAGAGGCAGAGGCATGGGCTCAATGGTGTCGGCCCTGTGGATTCAGGAGAGAGGAGGAGTGTTGGCCTTGGGGGCATTGTCATCTCAAGCCGGAGTAGGGCCAAGGCAGTAAGTCCACACAAGGGACCGAGAGGTGGGCATATATGGAGCAAGCTCCAGACACACCTGTCCTTGCCCACACAGCAGGCTGCACACCTTTTTCTCCTCCGCCCTCACCCTTCCCAGTCTTTTCTAATTTCCATGGGGTTTTCATTGCAATAAAGAAAAACCCTTGCAGGACACAGAATTGATCACAAAAGCCTATGAGTCCAGCAGGCTTGGGAGGGGCTTCATTCTTTGGAAGAGAAGCGGGGGCAGGTTCTGTGCCCAGACCTGGAGAGGCTGCCCAGAAGGGGACTGCATCCCCTCGGCTGCCCCGTGCACTCCCTAAGTGGAGCACCTCCAGGTTCTTCAGTGTTAGGGGAAACTATGAAAAGGGCAAAGATGTTTCCGCAGTGGCTTTTGGGAGTGCGCTGTGGCACCTGCAGGGGGGTATGGAATGTGTGATGCTGGTGACGGTGTGGCACAGGGAAGGTCCCGTGGGTTCCACACCCAGTAAATAGCCGTGAGTCATCTCATCGTCTCTAGTCTCCATTTCTCCTTTGGTCAAAAAGGGTTCATCTTAATCATCCTGCTTGCCTCGTAGGGAAAACAGGATCTAGGGAGAGAACATTTGGAAAGTTCTTAGAAAGGTTAAAAGAGACACGTAAGTGTGGTTTCTGTTATCCTGGATTTCAGGGAGTGGAGGAATAGGAACCTACACGAGGCTTCCCCAGCGCTGGCAGCCAGAATTTGCCGAGCCTCTGCAGTGGCGGTGGCCATCCCCCACCAGAAGCCCTGGGAGGAGAGGGGCT